TTACAGAATAGGCATATTTGTAAAAACATATGTTCTTGACTCGATCAAGAAAATCAAGTTTCCGTCTCAATTTCGACGAATTCAAAATAAGGCCTCGGGGACAAATGTAAACGAGATTGGTTTCGGAACAGAAAAGGTACTATATGTTGCAGCGGTTATCACGCGTGTATTTTGCAACCTTTTAATCAATTTGACACATATGTAGATCCACATGTTAATTTCTCTATCCGGTTCAAAATATATAGTCCATATGGCACGATGGCATTCAATTGCGTTGGGCATATCTTTACGTTATTTCAGATAGAATACAGTCAAGTACCTTGGAGCCGAGCTTATGTGAGTCAGAAGGTTATAAAAAAATATATTTAGGTACGTTTATGAAATCAGTATTATAAGCCTTACCTACTTTTTTGTCATTTTTATACCGTACCCGTAGGGTGCCAACGGAACCCTATTACTAAGCCTCCGCTGTCCGTCCGTCCGTCTATCAGGGCTGTATCTCATGAACCGTAGGTAATAGGTTCAAATTTTCACAGAGTATATATTTCTATTGCTGCTATTGCAATAAATAATAAAGATAAATAAAAATAAAAAAATAAAATACAGGAAACACGAACGAACGTTCATAATCGACTATTGCAGTTAATAATATACTAACTACATAGAGTAAAACTCATATTAATAAAAAGTACATGTACGATGGTACGAAACCCTTCGTGTGCGAATTCGACTTTTTTATTTTCACTCTCCGATAGATTAACCAAACAACAGTCGGCGCAAATTTTTTTTAGTTCAAAAATAATATAAGTTCATTCAAAGTTAGCATGAACCTATAGCTAAAATATGTGAGCTAATAGGTAACTAATAATAATTACTAATTAGTCATGTGTAATATAATTAAATAAATAATATTTAATTTGTGACCTTTGAATTTAATGTTATTTACAAAACAAAAACATTAATGGAATAAGAAAATTACGATTATTTAACGAAACAATAAAAATTAAATCGCATTTTGAATCAGTTGTCAAGATGACAGACATAGATTGATGAATACACATTACACATCAATGTGCAACGACTTTACAGCCTTGTGCTAATGTCATTAAAAAAAGATTCAGTATATCTACTTTTGATTAATCTATTGATGATTTGTATAAAAGTAACTAATAACATCACAAGTAATGGGTAATTTAAGCTTTTAATCGATCATAAATCATACTTATCACATCGATAATAGTAAAAAATATTTATATCATTTAAAATTTTATGAATTAAATTTCATATAAATATAAAGTTTCAAAAAAATAATAAAACTTAATAATAGTGTTGCTATTATTATATTTATAAAGATAATGAAAATAAAAAATATTATTTAATTAAGCAAATAATATTGTCGTCTATGCAATTAAAAAGTTAATAATAAGAATATTAATTATAATTGGTTTTTTGTTATTTAAAGTGAAAATATTTAGCAACACTTATAATACTAACACTTATAAATCAAAAAGAAATCTAAAAAAGTATTAATGTATGATCTTCGTCTACTATACTAAATGAAAACAATAAACTTTTATTTCTACCCATCTAAATCTAGTAACCACGGAGGCATAGACCCTAAATTGATTAATTAAGACACTTTTATTTCGAAAACCTTACGTTCTGGTTTGGTCATTAAGACCCTCGGGAATACCAGGGTTAATAAATAGGATTAGATAATCCGAATCACGATTAAAAGGACGAAGTTTGATTTGATAATTAAGGGGAAACTTGATAAGGGCTTCGAAATTGTTAATTACTCGTATATCCTAAAAACCTCACCTTTGGAAAATGTCGAGTTCAATGTGAGTACCTTATAATTAGGTAGGTACCCGTCCCTTAATCTTACATATAGGAGATAATTTCTTGTCTTCTCTTGTCTATATGTCTGAATTCTGAAGTATCAAAATTACACTTTAATACAATAATAAACGTACCTATAGTAATAAATTTTACTAACTAAAATAAAAGAGAAATTGTTTCTTGTTCTGAACCAATATGTAAAATTTCAACTCTGTAGGATAAGACGAAGTGGCTGTAATTCAGCTTGCAAGATTTGACCCATACAGAGACAGACATACCAACTATCCAGTAAGCTAAATACAAGCTTGTAAAAATGACAAAGGTAAATAATGTATTACTTTCTTAACCGACTTCCAAAAAGGAGGTCTTTTTTTATGTATGTTTACCGATTACTCGAAAGCGCCTAAACCGATTTTGAACTTTTTTTTTGTTTCAAACGGTATATTTCCCAGGTGTTCCCATATAAACTTTATCGAAATCGGTGAAGCGTTTTTTTTTAAATCAAGAAATAAATTAATTTATTAAATAAATTGCTTAATCGAACATGTTATTAAAAAACGTTCTTCTTACAAATTACCTGCCAATTACGTCTACACTAAAAATGGAAAAATAAAAACTTTTTAAAAAAAGAATAAAAATCGACTTCCAGACACTAAAATGTAAAAAATAAACGGGAGTTTTCATTTAGAATAGATACCTAATCAGCTATTTTCGAAATCGGTGCCAGCCGACAATATTTTAAAATATGAATATCTAATAGGTAAACATGTATTTTTCGTATCTAAATACCTACATTAGATTTGCTTTGCATCGGCTGGCACCGACTTTTAAAATATCTGATTAGGTAGGTATCTTTTCTAAATGAAAACCCCAGTTTAGTTATTTTTAACATTTTAGTGCCTTGAAGTCGATTTTTTTAAGGTTTTTTTAAATATCTAAGTGGTCTTTATTATCTTAAATAAAATACATTTATATGTAAATTCTACGAGTATATAGAATACGTCATGTATTAAAAAAACAACAGAATTTCAGAAGCAAACCGTATGTATTAACATGTCTAAAAAGTTAAAACTGTCAAATTCCATTACTTAGACCCCTGTCACACCTCACATTCAGATTTATAAGTACATAAAGATATTAAAAGATTTTAATGAATTGAAACTTAAAATTTAAATCATTTTTGGGGCATTTGTTTTTAACGTTACCGGCCGAGGTGTAATTACTATCCATTTAAATTAAAGATACTTGAAATGTTTTCTAGAATTTATATGAAATCACTGTTGAGATGAAAGTAAAAATTTTATCAAAAAAAAGACGGAAATTGGTTCATAACAATCGGATGGGATCGAAATGTTATACCTATCTATACATATAATAAAATTGTAACTAAGCCGAATCTGTACATTAAATATTTTTTGGAAAATCTTATTGAAATAGACATAATTAGCAAAATAGAGGCCGAATCTATAGTTTTTAGAATTTTTGTCTGTCTATCTGTCTGTCTGTCTGTTACCGCATCACGGGAAAACCACTGGACAGATTTTGATGAAATTTGGTATGATGATAGCTGGTTATCCGGATCAACATATAGGATACTTTTTACAGCAGGAAAATATCTGATCTCTGAGAAATCGATACTAGACCTTAAAATGTAAGTAGGGACGAACCCGAGCGAAGCGAGGGTGATTCGCTAGTTTTAATATAAAGTTGATATCAAATCGAATCGATTTCCTTTGTTTGGAGTCGATATTTTTATTGACCCAGGTTTCCCTAATTTCTACATAACTCTAAAGGAACAAAAATTACTTATTCTACGGTTTGCTCTAAACAGGCAGGCACAGTCTTAATGGGGCGTCGCAGGATCGCTTACGCATTCAACCACGACGCCCCGACGGCAGGTCTGCCGAAGCAGACCACAACGACCATGAGGTTGCTCCACAGTCCACTCTGCTATTAGAGAAGGACCAGGAGCAGCCCACATAGCACACCGCCCACCAAGGTGGGCCACCTCCCAGTGCGTTTCTTGGCTTTGTGCCCGATTGTATTGCCGGGCACTACTGAGACCCCTCCCCCTCCTACCCCCACCACGACAAGGTGAACGCACGTTGGGGAGGGGGAGGAGTGACGACAATTATCTAAGTTCTAACCTAACCCACAGAGTACATTGGTATATACTAGGAAACCTAACCTTACGGCTAGCCACAGGCTTCTTACCTAACTTGGATTAACTAATGTAAAGGGCAAATTTTATTACTGTCACACATTTGTGATAATGATAAATCATTTATTTATATTATGCCTTAGATAAGCCACCAAATGGTTGGTGGCAAGAGCGTTTGCGAAAATAACTTTAGATTGTCACAAAATTAAAATTTTCGTTGTTATTGACCCAAAAAAAAATCTAAAATCAATGTGAAATTGTTTAAACCTAATAAAATATTGAGAATTTTCAAATAAAAGTTAAAATGCGCGTCAAGTTATTATTTGCAAAATTAAAACGCATAATTAAAACTCCCTAAAATACGAGTAGCACTTCTGTCAAAATTACGTCAAAAGCTTTAAAATGGTGCAGAATTGAGGTTATATTTATCAAACTTCGATACTTTTTATTTCCGAAAGTATTTATTTCCTCCACTTGAAAATTTGTCAGATAACGGATTACTCAAGATAATAAATACTTTGCACAAAAAAATCAAGAGTCTACTGAAAAACCCGTTTATAAAAGACGAGCCAACACTTTTGCACTGTAATATCTACGCACAAATAAGCCACCGTGACTTAAATCATTCAAGAAACCAGAATCCCTAAACTAGTTATTGATTAGAAACATTTTAAAACAAACTTTTACATGTCTTGGTTGTGTCTAAGCTCTTTCCCCTTTCAGTCACAGAGTACGTAAAATATGTATTTTACGTCTATCTGTGACTACTGTCAAATGTCAATTACTGACATATCTCATAAATCATAATGTCAATGTCATTAGTGTGGGACACGTAATATTTTTATTTACCAAATACCAATATTAATATTCATCCATATTCCATTTATTAGACTGAAATCTGCATAGATATTAGATAAGTCTGTTATTGTGCAGCTACAGCTGTTTAGCTTTTTCTATATCCTTAATATTATCATTATTGATTACACAAATATTTGCCATGGGTGAAAGCAGTAAATCTCTTCGAATAGATTGGTTTGATGGCTCTGTTACACAAGAAACAAGGCCTAACCATTCACAATATTTAAATGAGGAAATCTCTAAACCGAAACCACAGTCAACATTACGTGAAACAGAAAAGAAACCTATAGGATTCAAGCGATTGCTTGATCTTTCTCTATTGAAACCACCGATTTTGAACCTCGAACTCTCTAACAGGCGAGGGTTTTGGTATCTTTTTAATGGAAATCTAAAAGGCGACTTTATAGTACTTTTAGTTAAAATCATAAGTTCGGTTTACAAATCCTTAGAACCAAATGATACATCAAAAATAACTACATTATTAATCTATAAATTCCAAAAATCTAACTTTTTATTCCAACTAAAAGATTATTTGAATACTATACCAAAAGTGAAAACTGTAGATAAGCGCATGAATATGCAATTATGGGATGATGTGGAGTCATTTTACTTTTTGGTTCTTGATTTATGTGTGGCAATTTTTAAGTCTGGATTAGCACCTAAAATATATTTAGAGCAATTATATGATATATTAGAAGTAGCAGAAGTTAGTGCTATCAAAGTCCAAGAAAATCATATGGAACCTATTAGAGAAAAATTCTATCAACAATTACATCAAGCAAAGATTGTATTAAATCAATCTATTAGTCCTGTTAGTACATATTTCTTTACCACTCAAAAATTATATACATGCATAAATATTCTTTATTTACAAATTGAAACATATTAAATTCCTAATTTTATAAAATTTAATTGCAGTTTATGGAAGAAGTAGCCATAAACACAAAACAGATAACACCTGAAGAGACTTATATTATGAATAATTTTAGAAATCTTGATATCTTCCCAAATAGAAAGGATCTTCTTGAAGATAAAAATGTACAAATTGAACCAAATCTTATTGATGGAGCATATCCAACTGTTATGACTTATTTGGATTTACAGTTTAAGTTATTAAGAGAAGATTGCTACGGCCCATTGAGAGAAGGATTAAGTTTGTAAAATTTGATAACAATATGATTTTTTTAATAATAATAATATATTTATGCAATGAAAAAAAATCTTTAAAAAGTTTAAAATTACTCAATTGTTTTTAAACAAAAGACTAATATGCTTGTCTTTTTAGCTAAATATATGGCAAATCCATCTAACACAAGATACGAAAATATCAGGTAAGGTTTTGATGTACTTTTCATTTTTTGAAATGGAATATATAGGATTATGTACTTTTATATCACACATAGTGATATAAAAGAATAAAGAGAAGTACATATTTAAAAAAAAATGATATTTAAATAATTTTTAACCTGCAATGTGATATGTATTAGGCCTGATATTGAAACACATTATTTATAATGCGTGACTAACTTTATTATAACATTTTTTTTGTTTGCAGAGTGTATCCAAAAGTTCGTGTAATACAAACATATGCAAGCAGAAATAAAGTAGGCTATTTAGTAGATATTGCTTGGAATGAACGTTTAAATAACAAGTCTGTGAATTTAAAGAAATATGCATCCAATAAGTGGCTTATGTGTGGTTCACTGTTGCTTTTCACTAGTGATAATTTCCAGAACATTTTGTTTGCATCTGTACTTGACTCAAACTTGGATTTACTTAGTCAAGGATATGTATGTATATTTTCAATATATTCTATCCCTTTTGAATATATGAAGTATATACTTATCTATACTAATATTATAAAGAGGTAAAGTTTGTGAGTTTGTGATTTTGTCAGTTTGTGACTTTGTAGGGGGTAATCTTTGGATCTACTGAACTGATTTAGATGAAATTTGGTTAGAAGATAGCTTGAGACCCTGGGTCATATACACATAGGATACTTTTTATCCCGGAAATCATCCCTTAAGGGGGTGTAAATGGGGATGAAAGTTTGTATGGAGAAGCAACGTATTATATTTTATTTCCACCAATAAAAGATTTAAAAAAAAAACTTTATAAATTTTTATCTGTCTTAAATCTACTGGACAAATATAGTTGAGCTATATGTAAAAGACTAAAGCACAATATAAAATAGAACCTCCTCCTTTGTGGAAGTTGGATAAAGTTAATTAAAAAAAATGATATTTTATTAAGAAAATCATATTTCATATAAAATTAAGTTAATATTATAAAAATGTTTGCTCATTTATCCTGCACCATATAAGTTGAAGATTGGGAGATTCCATAAGATCTCATTATATTTTTATCCATATTTTTTTTTACTGCAAAATGATATATAGAGACATACCACCTGCATACATACAGGTGGTTATGTGGGACTCACCGGCAAAGCCAGTGCTACCCACTTAAACCCAACAGAACCTCCCCTATGTTACTGGGGCGTCGCAGGATCGCTTACGCACTCAACAACGACGCCCCGACGGCAGGCCTACCGAAGCAGATCACAACAGTCATGAGGTTTCTCCAATGGTCCACTCTGCTATCAGAGAAGTACCAGGAGCAACCCGCGTGGTACACCGCCCACCGAGTTGGGCCACCTCCCAGTGCGTTTCTTGGCTTTGATTGTTGCGATTAGATACCCCATATTTTATAGTTATTAAAAACTTAACTCAGTCATTTTTATTTAAGATAACCGTCACGTTCCAAAACCCAGTCCCACATGAAATTTTCTCCGAGCAATACTTAATGGTGGAAAGTGAAGTGTTTTTCGAACCTTACCATAGAGTGTTAAAAGTTTTACAAACATTACCTTCTAATGACTTGCCAATGAAAAGGTACATTTTGGATGTTCAGGTATGTTGAACTTATTCACTTTCCTATATCTATACAAATAAATAAAATTGAAGCCAAAATTACAGCATTTTACTAAATAAATATGAAAGTACATACAGTACTTATAAGAAAAAAAAACAATTTTTAAAAATGTTTGTCTGTCTGTTTATTCTAATCTCCGAAACGGCTAGACCGATTTTGTCGGGACTTTCACTGGCAGATAACTGATGTTATAAGGAGTAACTTAGTCTTCTTTTAATTTATAAAGAAATTAATGTTTCATGAATAAAATTCAAAACCCAAAATTCTTCCAATCGCTAGTCTTACTATTTTTACAGTATTTCATCTTCTCTCAGTAAAACTGCATTTTGAGCAGGTAGTGACATGGACTGACTACACTGACTATTGATATATATATAATTATGATATATATATATATATATATATATATATATATATATATATACATATATATATATATTATAAACAATTTAAATATGCTTGCAAAACGTTCTGCAACGATGTTCGAGACCTGGATATTGAACCCGCTTTACTTAGTTATCCAAGCGAGCTGGCTACCACTAGACTGCTTAAAAAATGTTTTTAGAAGTCTGTCTAAATAACCTACCAAAAAGTCTAAAAACCCCTTATCATGCCTCAGAATTCATCATGCTAGATTAAGACTTCCCACCATAACACAATTTTCCGATTTATTTCATTGATTGGGCAGTAACAATCTATTTTTGCAAGCTTGTTGTCAGAAAAAGAATCCATTCTAATAACATCCAACTATAACATCATAGCTATGTATATATAGTCTATTATAGCAAACGAAATTCATACGTTAAAAGATGATGAAATAGGGCACCCCCACCGCACGCGTGTTAATTACCAGTTGTCGAATATTATTTCCCTTGACTATACTATCTATACCATTCTAATGCCCGATTTTACCAACATCACCTAAGTTTAAGGGATCCCCTAAGCATGGTTAGGGGGATGTTAGGGGACAGTTTCTGTTTCACTTAAATGTTAAAAGACCCCCTAAATTTAGGTGCTCGAAATATGGGCTTAAAGACGATGGTAAAATGAAATTTCATTTAGGGGCTAGTTTAGGGGAACTTTTAAGCTATCCCATACGTAGGTGGTAGCTTATGGGTTGTTGGTGAAATCAGGTATAAGTGTCAAAATGTACCAAAAAGTTGTTTTTGTATGTTTAAAGCATTCAAAATATATGAATACCTTTTTTTTAATCTTTTTTGATGTTATTATTATATGTCATTTTTCTATAGAAAGAAACAATGCCGCCTGCATATCTGAAATCAGGCAAAATATATTCAATACTCAATCAAAACAATAAAGAAATATTATTCTCTGCGATATCAGATAGTTGGCCGTCTGAGAAACACTTCGGCTTAGACAAATCTCAAATGGAAGCGTATAAATTCGCATTATCAAAAGAATTTGCTGTAATCCAAGGACCTCCTGGTACAGGGAAAACGTTCTTAGGAATCAAAGTGGCTTCAACCCTCCTTAGAAACCTATCCCTTATTGGGACCCCAATGTTAATCATTTGCTACACAAATCACGCACTCGACCAATTTCTGGAAGGTATCATCAAAGTCACTAGCGATGTTATAAGATTAGGCCACCAAAGTAAAAGCAAAATTTTAAACCCATACAACTTACACAATATGCGAATAAAAATGAAGTCGCGACACTCGCACCTTTACGCGAAGAAACGTTCGGAATTGAACAGCGTGTTTAAAAACATAACAGATGTACAATCCGATATAGAAATGTGTGACAAAGAAATACTTACATATAAAACTATCAAATCGTATTTGAATCGCCTTGATAGAATGCCATATTTAAAGTGTTTTAACGAGGATGCTATATTAACTTGGCTGTTTGGACATTTAGATAGGGTTGATGATTTAACGTATAGTTTGGACAATTGGGAAAAACAATACGAAGATTTCCAAATCACAGATAAAATAGAAAGCTGTTTTTCTGAAAAATGGGCATTAAAGGAAATAAAATCAATGCAAAACAGCATAAATTACGTAAAAAATATAGAAGATATAAACTTGCAAAGTCAAAGTGTGATACGTAAGTTTGAGATGGAGATAGAAAAAATAAAGAAAAGGCTTCAATGTTTTAAAGTAAGCTATTATATTAGTTTTATCTATACATTATTATAATAAAACAGTAACAAAAAACCTGTACGTGAAATATATTAAAAAGTAATGACCGAAACCATAGTTGTTGAAATTGTTGTCTGTTTGTTTAAATATCTGTAAATATGTGTAATTTTGTGTAGTGATAACTTATTACTCGGGTCCACATTTAGGGGACCTGTTGGTACAGGAAAATCTTTCATTCCCACGGGAAAACACAATAACTGGTTCAATCGAGTCGTCCTCAGAAATTTACATGGCTAACGCTGGCTAAACCTTAAGAGATACATCAAAACAATGTACTAGAAAATAGGTATTTAAAAGGCCTATAGAAACGTCCGTCATAGCATTGATCTCTCTCCTAAGGTACACTCGCAATAACTATTTATATCTATTTAAAACTTAACTAAAAACGCACCCAACCAACCCTTTTTAACGTCCCACTGCTGGGCACGGGCCTCCCTTCAATACGAGGGGGATCAAGCTATAGTCCACCACGCTGGCCAAGTGCGGGTTGGCGGACTTCACATGTCTTTTGAAAACTTGCTAGGTCCTCTCAGACATGCAACTTTTCTCACGATGTTTTCCTTCAGCGTAAGGCGAGTTAGAAATGATTCGCACATGAAAATATCAGAGGTACGAGACCCGGGATTTGAACCCTACATTTTGGATTTGAACTATATACATATGTATATAAAAAAACACTCACCAAATAACTAAATGCTTAGTAAAGAAATACACAGAAACTTAGTGACTCATATGAAAATTTTATTTCAGAAATATATGGCGACATTGTATAATAAAAAGAAAGGGTGTCTTTCTAAGATGCCTATTGTAGATTTATATAAACTATCGACTGATGAAAGATGGCAACTGTATTTCAACTGGGTTGCACTTGTTAAGGATCATTTGATGATCAAAATGAATCTGTTAGTGGTAAGATCTATACATGTATATAATAAAATTCTGAGTTGAATCTGTAGATTAAATATTTTTTGGAAAATCTTATTAAAGTAGTCATTATTATCGATACAGAGGCCGAATCTATAGTTTTTAATTTTGTCTGTCTGTCTGGCTGTCTATCTCGTAACGCTTCACGACAAAATCGCTGGACAGATTTTGATGAAATTTGATAAATTTTGGTGATACCTGACTATCCGGGTCAACGAGTGCAGCAAAAATAATGAGTTACGTATTTCAGAATTTTCTAAAATTCAACCCCGAAGAGGGTGAAATAGGGGATGAAAGTTTGTATGAAACCTACCTTTTTAAAGATTTTTTTGTAGTTTTAGCGCGAGCGAAGCCGCGGGTTCTACTAGTTATTTATACTTATGTTTGTAGAACCGACAAAAGCTTTTCTGAGCTTTTGTAAGACCAACAATTTCTTATTTTCAGGAGAAACACAATGAATTGAGTCGTGAATTAGATGATATATCGACAACTTTAGACACAGAGTTGATGCAAACCATACGAGTGGTCGGCGTGACGACGACGGTGGCCGCGCGCCGACGGGACTTGATGAACAAACTGAAGTCGCCTATTGGTTTGTATTGTTTGACTGTATTGATAACCGGACTACTATTATAAATGTGTGTGTGTGTGTTTTGGTGTGTGTGTATGTGTGTGTATTTCTTTGATACTCCTACACTCTGAAGTACAGAGATTTTCGCTTCGAAGATTCTAAAATCGAAATGATATAATATGAAATTTAAACAATATAAACTACACCATATATGTATAAAGCATACGTTCAACTTACTTTGCTTAACTTTTTTACATTGGACATAAGAATTTTTTGCTCTGTATTCGAGCCTTTAGTGATAAATACTCAATTTTAGTTATGTCAAGTAGCTAAAATAAGAAATACCTTTGAGACGTATATAACCTTAGTCTCTCCCGTGACCATGATTGCTGTAAAGCATTCGAAACGTCCAGAACCAAAAATCTAAATAAATCCGGGTAAAATATCCGTTTTTTTTTTAATGTCAAATAGTCGCGTATATCTAAGAAAGTATTATTTTATTATATATGTATGTATATATGTATATAGAAATAAATAATGTTACGCTTATAACAGTTATAGTAGAAGAGGCAGCCGAAGTTCTAGAGGCTCATATTGTCGCTTCGATTACGTATTATTGCCAGCATCTCATACTTATTGGTAAGTAAAATTTGCCGTATATACTTTAGTATTATTATTCTATGTATTGTATTTAGCACTTTTTAACGAATGAGAATGAGAGAATTAATGAATAATTTTAGGAATGAGTCTCCTATTAATATAGAGGTATTTCCCAATAGTCCGCTACGTCGAGTGCCAGTCAGCGGACTTCACATGTCGTTTTAAATCTAGTTAGATTCTCTCAGACAATAAGAAAAATGTGCTTACTGTCAGTAATAATAATTTTAATTTAAGAGAAAAAAAATGCCCGCTGAGATACTTTATAGGTTATTGTTACCTAGGGTCCCTAGCGAAGCCAGGGTGATACAGACATACGTATAAAATTTAATATATTTTATATAGATACTTACCCTTATTATATGTATGTGTGTCTATGTATGTACGTATGTTTCTATATATGTATGTTTATATAATAATTGATGTTTGTAGTTTGTACATACACCGCACCTCATTATTATTTTTTTTTTTTTTGCTCACGCTCAAGGGTTTCTGGTTGAGATCTCTTAAAGAGATAAGTCATCCTTTGTACACATGGTATCTGTTTTCTATGTTATATGTATTTTGTTTTTGGTACATAAATAAATAAATATATATTTTAGGTGACCATAAACAACTGAGGCCTACAGCCGCACATTATATATTGGCAAAACATTATAACATGGAGATATCTCTCTTCGAACGCATGATACGTAACGGTGTTCACGCGCGTACTTTGACCACGCAACGACGTATGCGTAAAAACTTCATGGACCTATTAGTCCCTACAATATACGATTATTTGGATTGTCACCCTACTGTCTTGGACTATCCACCTGTGAAAGGAATGAAAGACACCCTATTCTTCTATAACCATAACGTGTTTGAGGATTCTAAGGTTTGTTTTGTAATTAATTTATTCCTATAATGATATTTGCTAAAACAAACTTTGAAATTCAACATCTTAAGGAGTGAAATTTATGTTTGTTTGGGAGACAAATAATTTGGGTGGTAACAAAAAGGTGTTTGTTTCATAAAGAATCGTGAAAATACTCATAGCCACTTTGAACAATTAATTGATTTACTTAGTTATGTTTTATAGAACTGCCTCGTTGGCTAACAAGTACGGCCAGAAGGTTCTGGGTTCGAGTCCTGAACCGGGCCAACTAACTTATACCTACTTACTACTTAACCCGTTGGGAAGTTAAGAACCCTATTCATTTCACAATAGTAAAAATTTATTATAATACAATTTATTTTACCTTTGTCCACATCATTTTCTATGTATTTTTTTTTTACTTGTTTAGTGCAATAAAGAATATTAATTTATATATACCTTCACGGTTTTTCTCAATAAATAAACAAAAATTTAAGACAAAGAAAATATAAGTATTTTTTTCTATAGTACTCAAAAGAAAGTTGGAGTCACGTAAATACGTTTGAGGCTAAATGGAGCGCGTCCTTAGCGAACTATTTACGTAAGATGAAGTATGAAGCTCATGAGATCACGATTTTAACGACTTATAATGGCCAAGTTTCAATTATAGAAGAGGTGAGTAATTTGTATATTATCTATACTAATATTATAAAAAGGCAGAGTTTGTATATTTGAACGCGCTTATCTCAGGAACTACTAATCCTATTTAAAAAATTCTTTATACACTATATAGCCTGTTTATTGAGGAAGGCTATAGGCTATATATCATGAGGCTACTATCAAAGGGAGCGGAGCAGTAATCATAAATGTCAACAATCGGGCAGACTTCCATACATTATTGTAAAACTGATATTTATAATCAAACAAATTTTGCGCGATTAAACCCGCATGGCACAGCTTGTTTTCTGATTAAAAATTATGATTATTCAAATTCAAAGTTTTAAACAGTACGTCCTCTGAGGATGAAAAATAGGGGATAAAAATCTTAGGAGCAGTAAAAAACTTTGGGTCTCCTACTACGGCAACAGAGAGAACCATATTATTTGTATTGATAATTTAAATTATTTGTTTCAAATTGTACTGTGCTAAATATTTTCAACTACAATATGTATGTCTTTTTGAGAAATGAACTATTATTATAATAATTATTATAAAACGATAAAAAAACCTACCGCAAATCGACTTATGCTTTATTATTTTTTCATGTATTTTAATCTGTATATTTTGTCTTTACAGATAAGCAAAAAGTATCCATTACTGAGAAACGTTAAAATAACAGTTGTAGATAATTATCAGGGGGAAGAGAACAGGATAGTGATATTATCACTAGTGAGGAGTAACAAGGACAGAAATATAGGCTTTCTGTCAACTTCTAATAGGATTTGTGTCGCTTTGTCTAGAGCTAAAGAAGGTGAGTCGAAGAAAATGACGATAGTGTGTTATTATACCAACCTTTAGAACTAAATAAAAATGAAATGACTAAACAACTGTGTTATGTAAAAATTGATTTTTTCGTCGTTTTATTTTGATTTCTGGTTTCTCTTTTTTTTTTTAATTATAAGGTACTTTGGTGCCATTTCACTTTTCTTCCAGGTTATAGTATAATTTTGTGGGTACATATATAATAATTCTTAAGACGTCGAAAACATTATCTCTTCCATTACCATGTTTGTTGTAAAACATTCGAAACGTCTGAAATCAAAAATCAACATAAAACCATGAAAATGCTTGAAAATATAAATTTATTAAAAATGTAATTTTTTCGCGTAAAACTTTAGAAAATATAATAATTTAGGTTCAAAGTCTTATGTCAATAAGCATATGTTATAGCCATGTTGGCTGTAACATATGTACAACATGGCTAATTGATAACTGCCCACTGCTTCTAATTTTAGTATATAAATAAAGTAGTAATTAAAATCATTAAAATATTTTTGAAGTTATACTTCTTTTGGCACCTTTGGAAAAATTTATGAGAGTAAAATTTTTACGATGCGCGCGCACACCGACAGCCAAAAAGCGACATGATGAAGTTAGCTGATAACTGTCATTTATTTTTATTAATTTATCATTCCTTTTTACAAGCAGAGAGTTGTGACATACGGAATGAAATCTTTAGCTATTTTTGTTCTGTTACGCCAAATAAGTACACACACAGTTTTTTTTTTTTAAATTATATTAATTATTTTTAATGTACATATTTTTTAGGTTTCTACATGTTTGGTAACATGGAGGTTCTTCAATCGGCCAGTCCAATATGGCGAGCAATACATGAAAAATTAAAAGACCAAAAGGCTATAGGATCGGAAATTGCTTTAGAGTTGAATGAAAATCAGGAGAAAGTAATCGCTGTAAGTATTTGTACAATGTATAATTTGAATCGTTTTTGTATTATTTCAATTATTTCTCTGTGAGTTGTAATAGCAAATGCAACTAAAAATATTTAAAAGTCATTGGTTAAATCTAATACATATATAAATATCTCGTGTCACGGTGTTTGTGGTCCCACTCGTCAGAAACGGATCGACCGATTTTAATGACTTTTTTGTATATTTGGTAGATATGAGAATAGGTCGTAAAGTATTTTTCACCCTCCTACCCCCGCCCCCTATTTTTTAATTTACGATTTTAGTGTTTTTGTATGAACAATCTATACTATAATAAAACAGTAGAGGTCGAATGTCTGTACATAGCAAAAAAATGCTAAAAACCGAGTCAGGGGGATGTAAGAAGACAAATAGAACAAATCCAGATTTTTTTCAAATTTTTTGTCTATCTGTCTGTTTGTCTGTTTGTACGGGCTAATCTCCGAAACTATTGGACCGATTTAAATGAAATTTTGCATGGTGGTACCTTATATCCCCGGTCAACATCAAAGATACTTTTCATTCCGGAAAATTAAACTGTAGTAACTTATACAGCTTAGTACACAACAACTTATGCACCTAATTTAGTAAAATTTGGCGTCCTGACACTTTATATTGCCGGTCAAACAACAGGTTACTTTTCATCCTGGAAAAATGAATTGTTTCCGTGGGATATATGTTATCTGTTTATGTTTTTATTATATAAATACGATGACTAATACTGTAGTAAATAATTTCAGTAAAACAAACATTGCTTTAGGTTTCGACACACAATACAAAAGTAGAAAAGGAACGAGATACAATAAAATATATTATTTTCTCCTTTTCTCTCTACTATTTACATATCTTTTATTTCAGATTAACAACACCCTTACAAACATCGCTGAACTGGACTCCTGTGGGCCCACAGATGACAGAAGTACATGGTATTATTGTCAGATTCTGTAATTTTAACTTTTCTGTAATGGCGTAACAAGCGAATCAATTCAAAGATTATTAAAATGAAACTTCTTTGCATTAGAATAAAATTTCAAGGCCGCGTCACAAAAAAACCGCCATGCCCGTGACGTTTGCATTAGGTTGCCATAGTAACCAGTGTTATTTTCTAACAAATTTATTAATTATAAATTATAATGATATTTTTTCCGTTGCTATCTTCAAAGATTACAATTGATACTAAATAGTTTTCAAATATGCCAAATATTTATAACTAGCGGCTCACCCTCGCTTCGCTCGCGTTCGTCCCTTAGAGTATGTGCGATAGATGTAAGAATCCAGCTAGATAGAAAGAGATAAAATATTATTCTCCCCTCTCTGTGCGATATTAGTTTGAACCATATTTTTGTCTGAGTGTAATATTAAAAGTTGTTATTAATTTATAAATCTTACAGATTTGAAATATAAATAACCAATGAAGTTCAACTTTTAACACGTTTCCATTGAAACCGTTTTTTTTTCTAAAATAATTTCATTATACCTTGTAGTTGAAACGACATTTTAAATTTCCACACGAAGCGACTTGTAAAACTATGAAATACATAACATATACGACCACTACTTACTCATAATATTACCACAGTACAGTAGATCTGTATGGACTTTTAAAGCCTTTTTAGTAGCCCTTTCTTAACTGAATTTTCACCAAATCGTTGTCTCAATGCTTATTTGTACAAACAACCGATTTACCAAAAGAGTTTTTAATACTTCTTATTAAGAATTATTAACTTTTAAGAGGGCACCGATCTTTTTATTTTAGTAGGACGAAAGCGGGCAGAGGGAGAGGGGGCTAGGATGAACGGAACGCGTGCGTATTTAGGTATTTCCTTCATATTATTAAAACAAATACACATTTTGAAAATGTAGAGTGTATACGATATAGAAATCGTATAATTTTGTTATTATTAAAAAACTTCTTTGAATTATTTACGCCGCACTATAAGGGTTTATTTTGTTTTTTAGAGATCATTTTGGATTTTTTTTTCTATAGAGGAAACTACAAGTAATCGTGTTTCTAGAAGAATAAATCCTTAAATATCCTACATATGAATTGCATAATTATAGTTTTAGTAATAACAATACAGCAAGGGATCAACGAACCCAATTATTTCGTAATTGTCTCTATATATTATTTTTAAAAATACGAAAATATGTACTAAATGATGTAATAAATCTTAGAAGTAAACCTGCGTTTTTAAAATAGAGGAAAAAATTCTCTACTTGAATATTAAAGTACAATAAATATCGGTTATTTTAACAACTAAAGATTAAAGGCGACGAAATGCAAATGCAACGGTTTTTATATTTCAAGATGTTTTTGTGCACATTTTATTTATTCTATCAAAACTAAAAATAAAGATGATGGATGTTAAAATTTAAGTTTTCGAACTGGTTTGACTTTGTTGCGCTCATGACATTATAAGGAACGCCCATTAATTACGTTAACTGTTTCTTTTTTCATAATTTGGACCATTTCCTCCCCTTGGTGAGATTTAGCGAGATATGGTAGGACCCTCCCTTTCCCTTTTTCAATTATCCCCGGTTGAAATGCGATTTTACTAAGATCCCCCCACCCCCCCTCTCCCCGCCCCTTCTACCGCCCTTTGAGCTCACGTAATTAATGGTTGTCCCCCTAATAAATATATGATGATTGTCGGCGCGTCTCCCTCTCACCGGGCGCGTGACGTATGAGCTGCGCGGGCCTCGCCCCTCCGACCCTCCCTGACCGCGAGCACATCTGACCGCGCCACTTCGCCTACCTGCGCGCTGGACTACGGACACTTCCCCAAACTCTAATTTAACTATACGTAGTTCAAATACAGTCCACTACTTTTATTTAAAAGTCCCGTTACGGCCCACACAATGATAATAACACTACGAGACTAAACAAGTGTATTGGTAAATGGTAAATAAAATACCTTTTTCCCCGTGTTTAAACTGGGCGAGTCGTGCACACTTGGTTGAATCGCGTAGTGTCATTCTTATTTATAATTATGAAATGTGAAAAAGTTATATTGTAATAGACAATATTATTTAATCATAGATAATGAGACAGTCTCTCAAATATTATAATAAAGGTTTTTGTTAATTAAAAGTTTTAAGATTTAATCTCAGACTAAGGAATAATTTAGACAGAGTGTCATAGAACTAAACATGAAGCCAAACAACAATGTTTTAAAATAATATATAATGTTTTAAAATAGTATACAAATGAAAATTTGTAGACTGACCACTAAATGATAAATGTTAAAAATGGCGGATCTCAAGCGCCAATTTGGGCGTCTCAAAATATTTTCAGACGTAGGTAACGAATGGGGTATCAAGATATAGGTTTTTAAGAGGCGATCACAAATATATATGTCATATACATATATTTAAAAATAATTTTGGATAACAAATCCCTTGCCCTAAATATTGTGAACTAGCGGCTCCTCGCTTCGCTCGGGTTCGCCTCTAGCAAAACAAAAACAAATCTATCCCACGGGAATCATACATTTTTCCGGGATAAAATGTAGGCTATGTGCTATTCTGATGTATGAGCTATATTATTGTAAAGTTTCCATTCCATCAGGATTCCATTTCCATCCATTCAGTAGTTTTTGCGTGAAATTACTGTTTCACGCAAAAACTACTGACTGACAAACATCCAAACACCTAAACATCCAGACATCCATGCAAAAATGTATTATATGTAATGCATTTATAATATTAGTAGGTTGCGAAAGCTTAGATGGATGAGTGTTTGTTACTCAATCACGCCAAAACGACTGAACGCTCAGGCTCAGAGATAAATTATAGTCTGGAATAGCACATGGTTACTTTTGATCCCGGGAAAAATTACGGTTCCCGTGGAATACATTTGATTTTGTTTATTTTTTTGTTAAATAAAACTCTAACGCAAAAAAACTGCATAATAACTACTATGTTTCTTTGTCAACTTTTTTCTATCTTTAGTTCGGTTTTATTCAGTCGGGTTTTTTATTAATTTTATAATAGAACCTTTTTATTCTACTTTGTTCTTACGTTGTCTTGTTTTTATATTTTTTAGTTTGCTTTTTACACAGTCGGGTATCATGTTGTTTTTTTTTACTTATTTATTTTATTAAACAAAATTATTGTCATTTTATAAAAATTAAACAACGATAAAATGTTAAAGCATCGTATGAAAAAATATATTAGAACTAACACTATTATATGACTTTATAATATCTACATTATAATAATAGTATCTATAAAAATATATTTCTTCAATCATAATTTTTGATTTTGATATTTCTACGAGTACTTTGTTTTGGACGCTTCAGAGTGTCACTTCCTTAGAATTTCCCACTTTTAAGTAAATAATATATTAAAATCTTATTATTTATTTATTCACACTTCCATGTACTATAACAAAATTCTCATCATTCATCTTTGTTTACATACATGCATAATGTATATAGAAAAAAAACGTGAGAATCATGGACTAACATTTTCAAAACAAAAACTTGTAGCAAAAAGCTGTTGCAGACATTTATTCAAAGTTATATAAAATAAAATATAATTATAATATTAAAATAAATATGTTGGGACATTAACACACGGCACCATCTGCATCTAGTTCCATGGTAAGCTACGAGGCTTGTGTTATGGTTACCAGATAGTTGATACACTACACATATATAACTTTCAAATTTGATTACATGCATGTTATGAATATAAACATCTATGACTGGATTACAAACGTTCGTTCTCGTCACAAAAATGAATGCCTCCAGCGGGCCTTGAACCCGCGACCGTTGGCACAGCAAGTAGGGTCACTACAAACTCAGCCTAATATGTCGTCATAATAATAATATGCAGCTGTTACTAAAAGTAATTAATGTATTAGTAAATTAAAATGATATTTATTAGTCATATATGTATATAGGAGTATACAATATACATACGTGGGATGTGATGTACTACAATATTTTCATTTTATCTTTAACGTATATATATAAAAGTTAGTTTATTTAGTTACTAATAATATTTCATTATTTAAATATATATATATATATATATATATATATATATATATATATATATATATATATATATAAATATATAAATGAATAAATAATGCAATATTATTAGTAACTAAAAAAAAACTTTTTTTTATTAACGTTTACAACTAAGACTATGGAACACAACGTAATGTAGCATTACAAAAACCATAGATACCACTAATACTACCAAACACTTCTAGCCTTTTTAACGGTTTTTAACGTTGGGAAATGCATTTAGGCACGAGGTGTTGGGATTCACCGGCAAAGCCAGTACTACCCAGTAAAACCCAACAAAACCTTCCCCCGTCTTAATGGGGCGTCGCAGGATCGCTTACGCATTCAACTACGAAGCCTGCTCTTTATAATTCAACCCTTTCCATGACTCACAGACCCACTCCGGTACTTAACTCTAATTCAATTAAATTCTGATCTCTTTTTAAATACCAATGGTAGTTGTTAATTATGTATTTCACGAAACAGAAACATATTATCCACCGACGACTTTACGTTAGGTACTTATCTATACCTCAGATAAAAGAATAATCTACGACCGTCAAAATAAATGTCAAAGTCAACGATAGTAGCGTGATTTGCTGTTTATAATATATATATTTTTCCATGCAGCCTTTACTTTCTTTAAAGAATAAAGGAAATTTTTAGGAATAAAATATGAATAATAAAAATGATAGGAACTAATCATTTGTATTTTTAAGCATTAGTGCTCTTTCCCTTGAAATTATAAAACCCGTTTGCTATTTTTAACTATTAATACTATATGCTCCGATGAATGTGTGTCAGAATTCAGAAATCATAATAACTTTAATTGAAGCCAGAAAAAAATTCAATTAAGGTACTGCGAAATGCCAAGTTAAGCGAGGGTAAGTTGCTTGTAGGAAATATTTTTGTTATAATATATACATATAATAAAATTCTAAGTCGAATCTGTACATTAAATATTTTTTTGTAAAATCTTATTGAAATAGTCATTATTATCGACACAGCCGAATCTATAGTTTTTAGAATTTTTGTTTGTCTATCTGTCTGGGAACGCATCACGAGAAAACCACTGGACAGATTTTAATGAAATTTGGTATGATGATAGCTGGTTATCCGGGTCTACATATAGGATTCTTTTTACTGCGGACAAATATCTAATTTCTGAGAAATCTATACTGTCTGTTAAAACGTATCGTATTGAAATATAATGATATTTTTATGCATTGCTTAATACATTTTTATCCTTAATTTTAAAGGGATTTTCCTCATGAAGATTTAAGCAATTTATCGCTGCAAACGCCTGATGAGTACGATGTTATGTTTGAAGACGAAGTTAATTCAAGTAATGGGGATTCGGACCACATCAGTCAGGGGAGCGTGGCCGATCAATTGGATGAAGAAACAGATCTTGTATCTGAAATAGCGGAATAAAACTTATCTGGTACTGAAACTAATGTTTAATGTTTTTCATGTTACCTGCACTTTAAGGACGTACATACTTACATATTATGTAAAACTATATTATATAAAAACCCTGCAAGATATGTCTGTAGGTAGCGACTTGAGTAAGAATATAATAAATGTCATGAGAGTGAACTGTCAACCCAATACTAGATATTCTTTAGTGTTTTTAATCTATTTTGTTAACGAGCCCATGTTGCTATTATATTGAAACGTATATTATTGCTTGGATGTTTCTATGACAATCTTATTGAATGTTAGATGGTAATTTTTTTTAAATTTTGGCAAACAATATGTATAAGGTATGCAATGATGGGTGAGATCGTGCTGAAAAAGATTTGTTTATGAAACAAAGTACATGTAGTATTTGTTCTACGAAGATATTTAATCACATCATAAATAATAATAATAAATAATATAATAAAATTGTAATCAAGCCGAATATGTACATTAAATATTTTTTGGAAAATCTTATTGAAATAGACATTTATTATCGATACAGAGGCCGAATCTATAGTTTTTACAATTTTTGTCTGTCTGTCTCTTACCGCATCACGGGAAAACCACTGGAGAGATTTTGATGAAATTTAGTATGATGGTAGCTGGTTATCCGGGTTAAGATATAGGATACTTTTTACCGCGGCAAAATGTCTCATTTCTGAGAAAAAATACAAAAACTGCAATGTAAGAGTATACTAATATGTAAAACTTAAGAATTTTTGGTCATCTGAACGCGGGCAGAGCCGCGGGCAGTGCTAGTTACTAATATAAATGTGAAATTATATGTGTGTTTGTATGTCTATATCTAGGATGTAATTTAACATCATCGTACATAGACTATGACCTGGAGTGACAAATAGATTACTGTTGGTATTAAAATTTTACAAAAGGTAGTATTGTCTGTATATCTGTATAAATATTATAAATGTGAAAGTTTGTGAGTATGTATGGATGTTTGTTACTCTTTCACGTCAGAACGGCTGAACGGATCTGGCTGAAATTTGGCACAGAGATAGATTATAGTCTGGAATAACACAAAGGCTACTTTTTATCCCGGAAAAATATAAGGTTCCCGAGGGATAGATTTGTTTTCGTTTTATGTTATATATTTTATATTATAAATAAGAAAATCACCTAGACACACCCGGGCAAAGCGAGGGGAAGTCGCTAGTGTTTATTATAAATGTATAAATGATAAGTATAATCCAGTATGACTGTATTTATTTTTAATGTTGTATAAATATTGTGATTGCTGAAACAAAGTTTACTTTTATGTTAAAAGTTAACTGATTTTAATTAGAAGTACTCGTACAAGTACTTAATTAAAGTTTTTAATTCCAATTCCTCTTTTATTTAATCATCAAGTTTATATATTTTTTATCTATACATATAATAAAATTCTGAGTCAAATCTGTACATTGAATATTTTTTGGAAAATCTTATTGAAATAGTCATTATTATCGATACAGAGGCCGAATCTATAGTTTTCAGAGTTTTTGTCTGTCCGTCTGTCTGCGAACGAAACGATCGCATCACGATTAAACCACTGGACTGATTTATACATGTATAATAAGATCTGTAGTAAAACATTTTTATTTTATATATTAATGTTAATTTTAGTCTTTTAACCTGTATCTCGATATATGTATATAAACCTAAGGAATTTAAAACGAGACAGCGTTTTCATTACATATTAATGATTAGTGAAATCGGTATTTAGGTTACATACTTTACATATCGCTTACATATTATGCATAATTATACCTACAACTACTTAATTCTATCGTTCCTCTCGTTGGTTCGAGTAAACAATATGCTCTGCCCATATCGATGGTCAAACTTTCAGAAAATATTTCGTAACAAACTTTACCTCTTTATAATATTAGTATAGATTATAAACATTCTACAAATTAAGCTCTTCTAACAACTGTTTTTCACCCGTGTCGTTCGTGCAGACTTGCGTCTCGAGGTAGTGGAGAGCGTGGACGTGGTGTGCGCGTGCGTGGCGTATTAGTGCATTCTGACCATAGAGAATCCTTTCTGGCTTTACTCAGTCATAGGTTATATATGCGTGCTGTATGTATGTCACCCTGACCGATTTCGGCCAAGGCGGCCAATCTCACTGTAACTAGCTAGTAGTAGACACACAAGTGCACTCCATTCCTTTTCACATTTCAAAGTTCGATGAGAGGATACTTCCACACGAGCGGTGAGAAATAAGGCGCAGGACGCACAGAAGTGTAATACACCAACTTCCGAACTCCGAGCTGCTACTGAGCCATAGTTAAACTTTACCTAATCCGGGACTCGAACCTAGCATCTCCGATTCTGCAGCCGTACATATTAGCCACTAGAGTGTAGGTAACATAGATATTATTAAAAATCAAAAGGATAACAAATCTATACATATAATAAAATTGTAACTAAGCCGAATCTGTACATTTTTTTTTTTGGGAAATCCTATTGAAATAGACATTATTATCGATACAGAGGCCGAATCTATAGTTTTTAGAATTTTATTTGTCCCTGTGTCTGTTACCGCGTCACGGATAACCACTGGAGGGATTTTGATGAAATTTGGTATGATGATAGCTGGTTACCCGGGTCAACATATAGGAAACTTTTTATTACAAGAAAATATCGCATTTCTGAGAAATCTATATTAAACATTGAAACGTAAGTAGGGACGAACCCGAGCAGAGCGAGGGTGAGTCGCTAGTTGTTATATAAAACTAAAAAAGGCTGACTGACCAAAACGAAACAACTGTAGGTAAATCAAAAAACTAAAAAGATGAAAACAAGTCGATGAAGGAAAATAGTATTATGCAGTCTGAGACATGTGGGATGGAGGTATGAAGAATAGTGAGTTGCTTGGAGTTGTCTGCGGCCCCACTTAATGATTATTTCGATAACTAAAATCTTACGTCTTTTGTGACCTTAGCGTAATTAATTTCAATGTATGAATAATATAAAAATTAAAATGATTACATTAACATACCGACGTTTAAGTTCATTTTATATTAGACTAGCGATTCACCCTCGTTTCGCTCGGGTACGTACCTATGTTTACAATAATGTAGGTATCTCTTCCAGATATTTTGATATTAATGATTACTGATTCACTCCTTTGGGTATGATGATATAAAGCCTGGGTATTTCTCCGAGATTGCGTTCTTCATCTGATTTATCTGGCCAAAAATTATTTTCATTTTTGGCTCTATTCAACATACTCTTATGATTAAAGACATGCCAAATATTATTTGGTTTGGCCAGATTAATCAGATGAAGAACGCAATCTCGGAGAAATACCCGCCTATAGCCCGTCTCAATAAACAAGCTATCTAATGCATAAAGAATTTTTCAATTCGGATTATTTAGTAGTTCTTGAGATTAGCGTGTTTAAACAATAAATAAATAAACAAACGAACAAACTCTGTGGTCTGCATCTTTATAATATTAGTATGGATAATAAGTAAATATATTTTATATGATTAAACGTTTAGATAATACGAAGAAGAAAAACATCATCAGAAAATCTACACTATAATAAAACAGTAGAGCTCGAATGTCTGTACATAGCAAAAAAAGCATTTTCTTGTCCAAAACCGAGTCAGGGGGATGTAAGAAGACAAATAGAACAAATCCAGATTTTTTTCAATTTCTTTGTTTCTCAGTCTGTTTGTCTGTTTGTACGGGCTAATCTCCGAATCCATTGGACCGATTTAAATGAAATTTTGCATGGTGCCTTATATCCCCGGGCAACATCTTAGATACTTTTTTATCCCGGAAAACTAAATAGTTTCCGTGGGATAGTTAAAAAACTATAATAGCTTATACAGCTTAGTACACAAAAACTACTGATTGGATTTTAATAAAACTTTACAATAATAAGTATAGTTCATACATGACAATAACAAATCGGCTACTTTACATCCCGGAAAATTAAAAGGTTCCCGTGGGACAGTCAAAAAAATATAGTAACTTATACAGCTTAGTTCACAAAAACTACTGATTGGATTTTGATGAATCTTTATAATCATATAGGTCATACGTCAGAATAACAAATAGGTTACTATTTATCCCGGAAAAATCTACGGTTCCCTAGGGATGGATGTTTTCGTTTATTTGTGACGTATTATGTACACAACATAGACCCCAAAACAATAGTTATTAAAAAAATGTTTGTTTGTCCGTTTGCCTGTATGTATGACTGTCTGTTTTTGTATGCGCGTTTCACGCGAAAAGTAATGAACCGATTTCAACGAAATTTGGGGAAGTGATAACTTATTACTCGATTCAACGTTTAGGATACCTTTTACGACAGGCAAATTATTCATTCCCACGGGAAAACACAATAACTGGTTCTATCGAATTGTCCTTAGAAATTTATGTGGCTAACGCTGGCTCAACCTTAAGAGATAGATCAAAACATTGTACAAGAAATTGTAAGTCTTAAAAAGGTCTAAACTATTTTCATTATCATATATTACTACTGTTTTATTATACGTTATTTATTCTACTATAAATATAATAAAACTGTAGAGGTCGAATGTCTGTACAAAGAAAAAAAATGTTAAAAACCGAGTCAGTTATCTTCTTACATTCCGTAAGAAGAAAAATAGAACAAATCCAGATTTTTTCTATTTTTTTCTCTGTCTGTTTGTCTGTTTGTACGGGCTAATCTCCGAAACTGTTGGACCGATTTAAATGAAATTTCGCATGGTGGTACCTTATATCCCCGGTCAACATCTTAGATACGTTTCATCCCAGAAAATTAAAGAGTTCCCATGAGATAGTTAAAAAACTATAGTATCTTATACAGCTTAGTACACAACAACTTATGCACCTAATTTAGTAAAATTTAACATTCTGATACCTTATATGGCCGGTCAAACAACAGGTTACTTTTCATCTCGGAAAAATGAACGGTTCCCATGGGAACTAATAGATCTCTATTAGTATTTTTCTAGATCTCTCTATTAGATTGTTTATACATATGAGAGTAACTTAACTGGTTTTTAAAAGACATGTGAACTCCGCCTATTAGAATTTGGATAGCCTAATCGAATTTAAGGGAGATCTTTCCAACAATGTGTTTCCAATTCCACCCTGTCATGGTGGGGGGACTCATTAGCATCCGGCAATCCAGCTGGGCGTAAAGCCAAGAAATACACCGGGAGGCGGCCTACTTCGTTGTGAGAAAGAATAAAAGTACATAAAACAATATGCTTGGTACTTCGTCGTGTACCACGCTAGCTACCAGCCACGCTAACCACGCATTGCTTCATGTGCTTTTTTGATACCAGAGTGTACTGTAGTTATAACCCCTTGGTTGTTGTGGTTGACTTAGGAAGGCCTGCCATTGGGACGTCGTGGTGGAGTTCGTAAGTGATGTTCTATTAAGTCGGGAGAGGTTCCGTAGGGTAGTGGATAGTACCTACCTACTGGCTTCTCGGTACTATCGGCTGGGTATGCATTACACACCGCAACCGGTAAAAAAAATTGCCCTTGCCCTGCATTGGACGTACAACGGTCATTATTATTATTATAAGTGGGTATTTATTTTAACTTACACCTTACACCATGGGCGGCGACAGAATTATTTCCATAGGAGTTCGTCTACTCTACTTCTGCACATGGAACTACTAATCTTTAAATGTAACTTTATCATTTTTATTGATATATTATTTATTTATCTTCTTTTTTCACAGATATCTAAAAGATTACTAATACAATTTTTTTTTTTTCACTTTTTCTATACTTATATTTTCCTTCATGGCAAGAAAGTGCAAGTGCACCCCCTCCCATGACCTACAGTCGCAGACAGAAATTATAAATTATATTCCATACATAAATATCTTTTAAGTTTTTCTCGATTTTTTACTGGAGGTCACTAGGTAGAAAAGTAAATAAGAAAATGCCTCTATCCTAAGATCTGGCGTAATTATAATCAGTGTTATCACTAATCGATTTAGTCTTCTCTCGATTATTAGTTATTTTAATCGGATTAAAATAGTACCCGTAATCTTTGATATGAATATAAACTATGTAAATAAAGAAGATAATGTTATAAGATTTTGTAATGAATCAATATATTATCTATTTGCTAGATCTGCAAAAAGATTTGATTGTATGTTTTTCTGTCTATCTTTCTTCAAGTAATATTAAAAATAAAATTGCTTCGAGTTTTTTTGAAGTCTTCAATGCTATTGTTACACTAACAATAATGAAAATTATTAATTACATGCAAATAGGATTTACACGTAGGTATCTATAATTGTAAATTAATTATTTACGTATCTATAATTGTAAATTAATTTTAATTATTATTACTTATTTTTCTTTTTTCATAAGATAACATCTTGAGTAGAAAAAAAGGCGGGAAAAGCGCTCTTTTGTTTTAAGAACTAATGCAATACGGCATTCGTATTTCGTAATGTTGTTTGAGATGGTAATCTTGACTCTGTACAAAATAAAAAACTTGAAATGTAAAAAAAAAAGTAAACGGGAGTTCTCATTTAGAATAGATTCTTAATCAGATATTTTCGAAGTCGGTGTTTCTTTTAAAAACTTTTATTTTTCCATTTTTAGTGTAGACGTAATAAGCAGGTAATTTGTAAGAAGAAAGTTTTTAAATAACATATTCGATTAAGCAATTTATTTAAAAAAATAATTTATTGTTGATTTTTAAAAAAAACCCCACTCGACCGATTTTTTTAAAATTTAAATGGGACCACCTGGGAAGTTACGCTTCGAAACAAAAAAAAATCCAAATAAAAAGATTTCGAGGAATTGACAACCTCCTCCTTTTTGGAAGTCGGTTAATAAAAACTGTTTGCTGTTACACCGAATTTTACTTAGCCTACCTGACCTACTGCTGACATACTTCCGTAGATATATAATAATACTAGCATTGCCCGCGTTCAGATGACCAAAAACCAAATTCTTATGTTTTACATACATATTAGTATACTCTTACAATGCAGTTTTTGTATTTTTTCAGAAATGAGATATTTTTCCGCGGTAAAAAGTATCCTATATGTTGACTCGGTTAACCAGCTATCATCTTACCAAATTTCATCAAAATCTCTCAATCAGACAGACAGACAGACATACACACAGACAGACAAAAATTCTAAAAACTATAGAATCGGCCTCTGTATCGATAATAATGTCTATTTCAATAAGATTTTCCAAAAAATATTTAATGTACAGATTCGGCTTAGTTACAATTTTATTATATGTATAGACTATTGATTCTATTTGTTCGATAAAGTTTGCATAGTATGACGCGCTGATTTTTATTACACTAATGAATAATTGTACATTAAACATAATATAACAAGATGAAAAGAATGAACCCTATCTGAAATTTTAACGATTTTTTTTTTAAATGTAAACGCCCACTTGAAGTTGGGGGTGATTTTCAGCCTCTCGAGACCATAAAACATACTTTTATAAATGGCTAAACATTTCAATTTATTTATTTTTTATATGTATTTCGAAGATAACATTCCCTTAGTTTCATGGAAGTCAAAAGATTATTTTAGATATTAAAAATAAAAAACCAAGAAAAAGTTAAAAACCGAGTTTTTTACAAATATCTCGAAAACTTTGAGGTTATTGTAAAAAGTGTTCTTTATAAAAATTGTAAATTTTTAGTAAACCTACAACTTTTGTAGAAAACATTTTTCGATAGAACATCACAGTAAGCCGGAAATTGAAAAAAACTATTTTTCAACGCTTTGCGTCCCCCGCATTTCTCGGGGGTAGTTATATATGGTATACCTGCTAACATTTTAAAAATCATAAAACTCCAGAATTTCAATATTTTGTTCCCAAACCGGATTCCGATTAGACTATAAGAACAAAACGTGATTTTCGTAACTGCTTTATTGTAATTATCCTTTGCATTATTCATTATTTTTACAAATATCTAGAATTACAATGTAGTAACAGGAAATCGTTCCATTGTTTCCAAATTCAACAATAACAATATTCGGTATATGTACTACTAAAACTGTGAATTTTGAAGAAACTAGCACAAATGACAGGGAAAACTGAAATAAAATAAATTAGGAGATATACACATACAATTATCGGTCTCATCCTCCCACGTCTATACTTAAATTGTAGGCGCTATTTCCAATGACACATTTATATATCTCGCATATAAAAATAAGCCCTTATAATCTACCCGTCAATGTAAATATACGTATAGCTTTTAGAAAGCATTCTATATATCATATTTTTCGTAAAACAATGTCGCATGTCCTTAATGTTTAAAAAAAAATTGCACCGGACAATATTTTATGAGTGATTTGTTTTAGCGATTATATATTCCAAATGCTACATTGTTCTACTGAAGCTACGACATGTTATAACGTCATGCCTTAAAGGCAAAAGGCGATAAATTACTATGCATTGTGCACTCGCTTAACTATTTGCATCACATTTAATATCACAATAGACTCAAAACTACCGATTCAACTAATATAATTCTAAAAAGTCCTCTATATAAGTGACTATATTCTGAGGCGCGTTCAAATGTACGTGATGTGTACCTTCCACTTCTACGTAACTTACATCTGCAGTTTTCTTTAATTTTTTTATTACTTCCAAATAATAATCTATCCTTTCCCATTTCTGGCCTGGAATTGCCCTAATGTTTAAAACTTTGCATTTGACATTGCCGGCATATTCTAAAGCCGTTTCGATGGACATCATGCCCAGACCGGCCACTTTTAATCTTGGATCTCTTTTGAAGTAATAACCTTTTTTCTTCATATGCGCAGGAGTTGGAGCCATGCCCCTCTTCATTAAAACTTCACAGTTTTCTCTGGACACTGATCCTTTGTATGCAAAGCATACAATATCTATCATCTCCTTGTAGTCATAACATGGTATTTTGTCTTCCGGCAAATTTTCGTATTCTAAATTCTTTTCGATCATACCGGCTGTGTTTTGAACCATATGTGCAGGAGGTCGTACTGCTGGACTTGCTATATCTATGCAAATTATTCTATCTACTTCATCTGGAAAGGATGCAGCGTACATAAAACTTAAGGCACCACCTAAAGAATGCCCCATCAGGCTAATTTTTTCCCATTTAAAGTGTTTAACTATTCTGCGCAATAGAACAACACCATCCCAAAATATGTAGTATAGCATGCCAGTAGGATAATGCGAGGAAAGCCCGTGGCCTGGCAGATCGATGCAAAGGACTGACATATTTGCGGATAGAAGTGGTATTAGGTTATCCCAAGTTCCAGCATTGTCTTGCCAACCATGTATTGCGATCAACGGCTGCTTATTTCGAGGCCCCCACCAGCGGCCAGCAACATGACCCCATGGAACAGGTATTTCAATTTCTTCCACCGTAAAACCATGGGGCAAATCTGAAAAGAAGAAAAAAAACCTTTAAATTTTAAATTACGATCTTTAAGAATTATTATGAATAACGTAAGTCGATTAATTAATGTGCCAAAAACTGTATATTGTTAGGCACTACCAACCTATTCTTACAATACTAGTGGATAGCTGAGTGTACCAATATGTATGTCACTTGTGATGCATGTTTAAATATTACTCCTCTATGTTAATCTATATACAAATAATAAAATTGTAACTAAGCAGAATATTATTGAAATAAACATTATTAGCGATACAGACGTCGAATTTATAGTTTTTAGAATTTTTGTGTGTCTGTCTGTTACCGCATCACAGAAAAACCACTCGAGGGATTTTGATAAAATATGCTATGGTGATAGCTGGTTATTTTTTTTTTATGTCGGGAAATGCATTTACGCATACCACCTGATCCCCCAGGTGGTGATGTGGGGCTCACCGGCTAGAAGAGCCGGTACTACCCACTAAAACCCGACATTCCCCTCCCCTCCGCCTTAATGGGACGCCGCAGGATCGCTTGCGCATAACTACTACGGCGCCCCGGCGGCAGGTCTGCCTAAAAAGGCAGACCACCAAACCAATGGGGGATAGCTGGTTATCTGGGTCAACATATAGGATACTTTTTACCGCGGGAAAATATCTCATTTTTGAGAAAAAATACAAAAACTGTAATGTAAGAGTATACCAATATGTAAAACCTAAGAATTTGGTATTCGGTCAGCTGAACGCGGGCGGAGCCGCGGGCAATGCTTGTACTCTATATTTTCCTAATTATAATTCCTTATATTCGATAGTTTACAAAATATACATTCATTATTATTCGGGCATTCGATCGTTATATTTTGCCTCCTAAGTTCCAACACCACACCTACATACGTACATGGCGATGCTGCCGACGGAGCCTGTCGCGCCGCGAATTTGGTACTATCCTGTATTACGTTGCTCTTCAGTTCGAAGAATTTGGAACAACGGAGAGAGTACAACTAAATTGTTACTACGGTTCACACGTGGTAACACGCTCGCTTGGGAAACCGAGTGAAGCGGGTTCAAATCCCGGGTCTCGCACCTCTGATATTTTCATGTGCAAATCATTTCTAACATGATCACCACTTGCACCACGGTGAAGGAAAACATCGTGAGGAAACCTGCGTGTCTGAACCGTCAGAACCTAGCAAGTTTTCGAAAAATATGTGAAGTCCGCCAACCCGCACTTGGCCAGCGTGGTGTACTATGGCATGATACCCCTCGTATTAAAAAGAGGCCCGTGCCCAGTAGTGGGACGAATACAAATTAATAAGTATCTGCACGGAAAGTTAAAAAAAAAGAGCAAAGTTAAATAAAAACCTAATATAATTTACATATAATCATATAGTAAATAATATCTTTTATCTTTTAATCGTGTAATAAAATCTTGCATCGTGTCGCATGAACCTTAAAGAATGCAGTGGCATGCCTTATTATATACATACAATATACGTATAATTTGCGAAATGACATTTGAACTGTAGAATAATGAGTTTTGATATTTACTTTGTTGTAATAATTTATACTAATGTTTAATATTAAATACATAATTATTTTTAATTTAATTTACATTGTAAGTGTAGATATTATTTTAACACTATAGGAAAATTTAAAGGAAATAACTACAGAAAAGTACCCAAAATATTTTTTGGGATTTAGCAAGAAATAAGTGAGGTTAATGTAATTTATGAACATTATGAAACCGTTCTGATTCTAAAGATAGGGTTAAAAATAAATATTATAATAGTCAAGATATTTTATTAATAGAAAATTATTGCAGCGTATTTTTAGATCTGCACAAATATATTTTATTGTTGTATCATAGTGAATCAAATTTTATTTTTATTTCAATGTAACAATTTCGAAAAAAAATATTATTAAAATTTTAATTGTTTATTTAATAAACAATTTGTTATAAGCAATAAAAAAATCTATATATTTTTTTTTTTCTACATAATGAAACAAAAACAACCATGTGTTATTTTTTTAAGAAAAATAATTTATTTATATTTTTTATAATTTTAAAACTTAAGTAAATTTAAATTATTTAACCTAAGTATATTGTTGATAACGAAGTGAAAAGAAACAGTTTTCCAGCAAATTTTAAGATTTTATAGATCTAATGGTAAAAGTTGAGTAATAAAACATGTTTGCCAAGGTTACATTATTGAGTCATGCGACCAGCCTTGGATTTACACTAAGGGCACTCGGGGCTAGTGCCCAGGGCGCCCAATTTTCAGGGGCGGCAAAATTCGGAGGGCGAGAAAAAAAATTCTTCGCGTTATCGAAAATGCTTTTTTTATTTTACAAAAAGTGAAAAATAATAATTAAAAAAACATTTATATTTTATCGAAACTTTACCTATTTTATGCAAAATTTCGATAATAGGACGGCACTTTTTACTGTTACCAAGGGCGGCACTAAGGTTAAATCCGGCCCTGCATGCGACGTCAAATTCACTGGAACGAGCAAATAAACCGTTCGCGTTGTGCAATTAAGTGCTAATCGATATTCGACGTCGAAAATGCCACTGTACAAATACTATTTGTATTTTCATGGAATATATTAATACTTTACGCTTAGTTTTTTACTAGGTACATAGACGTTTTGTTTTCAATTTTATATTTTTTAATCTTTCACGTCCAGAATAGTAATTAGAATCTGAAAATCATTCAAACCTACTTTTGACAAGATAAGACGATAAATACTTAAGACACGTCTAAACTGAGTAGTTTTTAGGGTTCCGTACCCGAAGAGTAAAACGGGACCCTATTACTAAGACTCCGCTGTCCGTTCGTCTTCGTCTGTCTGTCTGTCTGTCTGTCTGTCCGTCTGTCACTCTACTTTACTTTAATCTCTATCTATAATTGATAACATTTAAAAATAGCAAACCCACTTTCGCGTTTATAATATATAATCTATACTTATAATAAATCTGTAGAGAGGTCAATTCTGTACATGAAATATATTTCCAAAATAACTATCAGGGGGTGATTAGGGATCGATACTGATGCCAAAAATGCAATCAGTAAAATTTTTGTCTGTCTGTCTGTCTGTCTGTATAACCGTTATAGAAACAAAAACTACTCGACGGATTTTAACGAAACTTGGTACAATTATTTATCATACTGCTGAGCTGGTTAAGGTATACTTTTCATCACGCTACAATCAATAGGAGCAGAGCAGTGAAGGGAAATGTTGGGAAAACGGGAGAAGTTACTCCATTTTTTAAGCTTCCGTCGCGTGTGCAACCTTAATGGTTAAAGCTACACAGAAATCATGTATGACGGAAATGTTCTCCTTAAAATTATATAAAAAATATCCAACGACAACATATCTTCTATCTTTTATGGTTGACTCACAATAACACGTGTAACTCCCGATAGCTTAGCAGTTCGAAGCTTTCTGATTTATATTTGTCTACTCTTACGTTTATAACACTCTCAGTCATCCCTAATTAAAAAAGTTAACATTATAATCTATTCCATAAAAAAGAATCATAGAAATCGGTATAGAAACACCAAAGTTATACATGAAATACGCTAATAATAAGCCATCGCGAGTCAGGGGGATGTAAGAACTCAAATAGAACAAATCCAGATTTTTTTCAATTTTTTTGTTTGTCTGTTTGTACGGGCTAATCTCCGAATCTGTTGAACCGATTTAAATTAAATTTTGCATGGTGGTACCTTATATCCCCGGACAACGTCTTAAATATTTTTATCCCGGAAAATTAAATGGTTCCCGTGGGATAGTTAAAAAACTATTATAACTTATACAACTTATGCACCTAATTTAGTAAAATTTAACATTCTGATACCTTATATTGCCGGTCAAAGAATAGATTACTTTTCATCCGGGAAAAATGAACGGTTCCCGTGGGAACTGATAGATTTCTATTAGTGTTTTTCTAAAGGCGAACCCGAGCGAAGCGAGGGTGAGCCGCTAGTGCAAGAATAAGAAAGGCCCATAACCTCGTATCACGTGAAATGTGCTTGTGTGGGTCTTAGGTACGAACACATCGACAACACGATAGTACGTTGCGTTTTTATATGAAACGATATGATAAAAAGGTCAATGTTAGGCGAGTTATGACTTCATAATCTTTATACTAACTGTAAATGCACTCATGATTAGACTAAATTTTATGTAATTGTATGGTTTACAAAATTCTATGAATACGTTTTTAATTGATAAAAATATTTATTGCGTGTGTACTTTAGGAAATAGAAATAGCCTATATTGCGGACTTTTCTTTAGGCATTTTTAAGATCTACAATTTTCTAGTACATTGTTTTGATGTATCTCTTAAGATTTAGCCAGTGTTAGTCATGTAAAATTTCAGAGATGATTTGACAGAATCAATTATTATTTTCCCGTGGGAATGAAAACTTTTCCTGTAAAAAAAGGTATTTGAAATGTTGACTAGAGTAAGAAGTTGTGGTGGTCTGCTTCGGCAGACCTACCGTCGGGGCGTCGTAGTTGAATGCGTAAGCGATCCTGCGACGCCCCATTAAGACAGGGGAAGGTTTTGTTGGGTTTTAGTGGGTAGTACTGGCTTTATTACGCCGGTGAGTCCAACACCTAACACCAAGTTAACACCGTACAAAATTTAGTTAAAATACGTTCAGTACTTTTTGCGTGAAACACACAAGATATACAAACAGGCAAAATTTTAAAGATATACAAACAGGCAAATAACTATTGTTTCGGGGTCTATACCACGGTAATGTTACATACAGTACTCCATCTTCATACAAACAAGTTTTACCTACGCGCTTCGAGTTCGGTATACACTTGATAGACAACCGTCCGGGGCTGCCAGATCGTATAATTGGATACGAAAATTGTATGTTTTAAAAATAAAAATTAATTAATTAAATTAAAAATAAAAATTAAAGTATTTTTAACTAAACTTTTTATCCGAATGCAGATTTTTTATACTATTAAATTTAACAATAAAGCT